AAGATGAGGGAAGAGATTTGGTACAAGAAATGACCCAAAGTCCAGATCCAAAGGCTAAGAAGGTGCTAAAAAATATGAAACAGATTCTCCAAACGTGACATCGGTACTAGTAAAGTATCGTCGCAAAAAAGGACTGTAACAACGATACCCCTTTTGCGTGTGGGAGTAACCAAAAAATATACATTTGGTAGCTTGAGGGTCAAGTTTATAAAACTCAGGACCCAAATTGTGAACATAATAGACACATCCAAAAACCTTAGGAGTGAGAAAAAATAAGGGCTTGCCAAAAAAAATGACAGAATATGAACTTTACTCATTTAACACAGAGAATGTCATACAATTAATAAGGTGGCAAAACAGTAAAAAAAATATCACTCCAAAAATATCGAGAAATATTCATCTAGAATAACAAGGCACAGATGACTTCCAACAAATGACGGTTCTTGTGTTCAGCAACATCATTCCGTGGAGAAGTGTAAACACAAGAAGTCTGATGAATAGTGTCAATTTTACTAAGATAAGTTAAAAAAAGATTAGATTCATATTCCCAAGCATTATCGAAGCATAAAGTACGTATACGACAACCATACTGAGTTTTTATTTCCTTACGAAAGATTTCAAATATAGAGAATAATTTAGAACGAGCTTTCATAAAAAATAACTAAGTTACACGAGAATAGTCATCCATAAATGACATACAATAAGGATATTTATTAGACGAAATATTTTTTATTGGACTCCCATACATCAAAATGTACTAACTCAAATAGACTAAACACGCAATTATTGACTCTAGACTGAAACGACATACGGTGATGTTTACTAAGTTGACAAGCTTCACAAGATAAAGATGACACATAATTAAGACTGAAAACTTGACACTTCAGATTCTGGAGAGAGGGATGTCCAAGATGACAATGCTATTGAAATGGAGATAACGAGGTCTATAAAGTTTGGGTAGGTGAATCAAAATCAAGGTAATATAAGCCACCAGCTTCATGCCCCGTACTAATCTTCATCTTCGTCTTGAGATCCTAAAAGACACAATAAGAGGGATAAAAGTTACAGAACAATTGAGAGAATGAGTAATCTTGATCATGCAAAGTAAACTAAAAGGAAACTAAAGAACAAATAACACGGAAGATATGAACATATCAGGACTCAAGTGAGTAGTCCCCAGACTTGAAACTTTAGAACAAGTATCAATAGCAAGAGTAACACTACGTGTGAAAGTAGAAGACTGATAAGTAGAAAAAACATCAAATACACCAGTCATGGGGTCAGAAGCGCCAGCGTCTATGATCCAGGGAGCACGAGTGGAGCACAATAAACAAGTGGATGCAGTACCTAGTTGGGCAAAAGTAGCAGTGGAGAGAGATGGAACAACATGTTGCTAGACAGGAATTTAACATACTTCTGTCGTGTAATAGTAACCGACCCAATGTTTGGTGGAGTTGACCGAGGTATGGAAGCAACAACAGAGGTGTCATCCCGATAGCAAGCTTGATTTGCAGCACCAAAAGGTTTTTTATGTAAATTCCAATAGAAATCAACAGTGTTCCCTCCATGACCATAGTGAGTACAGGAACGAGGTCCACTACGACCCCCATAACCACCCTTACAACCACCACAACCTCCTCGATGACCATCACTACGGCTACTAGGAACCACAAGAGCTGAGTGATCAGTGGAGACACCATGATCAATGACTGCAGTAGATAGAGTAACACGCTGTACAGGAGAGGAAACCTCTTGTGGCATTACTAATCAAAAAACATCAGAACTAGACAATCCAAGTGCATTCCCAACATTCAGACAGCTAACTTAGAAATTCTTTCCAAAACATAGAAACTTAGCTTCCTAGTACTCATTAATAGAAGCCTTTAAAACTAAGTTTCTTAGTGTCTATTAATAGAAGACTTACCCATTTTGTAGCTGTTGCTGCATTTTTCTCTGGTGGCTTCGGAAACTTGTCCTCTTTACGAGCTGTTGGCTCTATCATTTCTTTGACCTCCACCGCTACAACTGCATTCTTCTTAATCTGAAAAAAAAAAATTAGTTAGCATGAGTACACTGTAGAAGTTGCTAAGCAAGGTTGATGACTATGTTTGCGTGATGGTTTTGTTTAATTTAGAAATGGTAAATTATACATTAAATCTTCATGGTTTCATTCAATAACACTGAACCTCCTTGTGCTTCAAAAACTCATACATGACCCTATGATTGGGAACCAATGTTGAAGTTCAACAATTTAGTACAAAAAAAGATAGTAATACCGTTCATCAAACGTGAAGAAAAAAATGGAATAGATTCCTCAAATGTGACATTGGTACTGGTAAAGTATCATCACAGAGAAGAACTGTAGCAATGATACCTCTTCTGCATGTGGGAGTAACCAAGAAATATATATTTGGTAGCTTGAGGGTCAAGTTTATCAAATACAAGACCCAAATTGTGAACATAACAGACATATCCAAAAATCTTAGAAGTGAGGAAAAATAAGGATTTAATAGGAAAAAAGACAGAATATGGACTTTGCCCATTTAACACAGAGGATGTCATACAATTAATAAGGTGACAAGTAGTAAGAATAACATCACTCAAAAAATATTCATTTGGAATAACAAGGCACGGGTGACTTCCAACAAATGAAGGTTCTTGCGTTCAGCAACACCATTCCATGGAGAGGTATAAGCACAAGAAGTCTGATGAATAATGTTCGTTTTACTAAGATAAACTAAAAAAAGATCATATTCATATTCCCGAGCATTATCGGAACGTAGAGTACGTTTATGACAACCATACTGAATTTTTATTTCCTTACGAAAGGTTTCAAATATAGAGAATAATTTAGAACGAGCTTTCACAAAAAATAACCAAGTCACACAAGAATAGTCATCCACCAATGACACAAAATAAGAATATTTATTACATGAAATATTCTTTATTGGACCTCATACATCAGAATGTACTAACTTAAATGGACTACACACACGATTATTGACTCTAGACTGAACTGACATACGATGATGTTTACTAAGTTGACAAGCTTCACAAGATAAAGATGACACATAACTAAGACTGGGAACTTGGCGCTTCAGATTCTGAAAAGAGGGATGTCCAAGACGACAATGCCATTGAAAATGAGACAATGAGGTCTGTAAAGCCCGGGTAGGTGAATCAAAATCAAAGTAATATAAGCCACCAACTTCATACCCTGTACTAATGTTCCTCTTCGTCTTAAGATCCTGAAAGACACAATAAGAGGGATAAAATGTTACAGAACAATTGAGATAATGAGTAATCTTGCTAATAGAAAGTAAACTAAAAAAAAATTGAGGAACAAATAACACAGAAAAGAGGGACATATCAGGACTCAAGTGAGTAGTCCCCAGACTTAAAACTTTAGAACAAGTATCATTAGCAAGAGTAACACTACGTGTGAAAGTAGTAAACTGATAAGTAGAAAAAACATCAGACGCACCAGTCATATGGTTAGAAGCGCCAGAGTCTATGATCCTGGGACTGTGAGTGGAAGACAATAAACAAATGAAAACAATACCTGGATGAGCAAAAGTAGCAGTGGAGAGAAATGGAACCGCCTGTTACTAGGACAAGAACTGAGCATAATTCTCTCGTGTAATAGCAACCGACCCAGTGCTAGGTAGAGCTGACTGAGGAATGGAAGCAACAACAAAGGTGTGATCCTGATAGAAAGCCTGATTCACAGCATCAGAAGGTTTTTCCAGTAAATCCCAACAAAAATCAATAGTGTGCCCTCCACGACCACAGTATGTACAGGAAAGAGGTCTACTACGGTCCCAACGACCACCCATATGACCTCCCGTACGACCTCCTCGACCACCACAACCTTCTCGATGACCATCACTATGTCTACTAGGAACCACAAGAGCTGAGCGATTAGTTGAGATACCATGGTCAATGCCTGCAGTAGACAGAGTAGCATGCTGTACACGAGAGAAAACCTTGTGTGGCATTACTAATCGAAAAACATCAAAACGGGGCAATCCAAGTGCATTCCCCATATTCAGACAGCTGACTTAGAAATTTTTTCCAAAACATAGAAACTTAGCTTCCTAGTGTACATTAATAGAAGCCTTTAAAACTAAGTTTCCTACTGCCTATTGATAAAAGACTTACCAATTTTGCAGCTACTGTTGCATTTTTCTCTGGTGGCTCCAGAAGCTTGTCCTCTTTACAAGCTGTTGGCTCTGTCATTTCTTTGACCTCCACTACTGCAACTGCTTTCTTCTTAGTCTGAAAAAGAATTTTAGTTAGCATGAGTAAACTATAGAAGTTACTAAGCAAGGTTGATGACTATGTTTGCTCGATGGTTCAGCTTAATTTATAAATGGTAAATTATATATTAGGTCTCCATGGTTTCATTCAATAACACTGAACCTCCTTGTGCTTCAAAAACCCATACATGACCCTATGCTTGGGAACCGATGTTGAAGTTCAACAATTTAGTACAAAAAAAGATAGTAATATTGATCACCGGGTTTTAAATTTTTTAATTGTTTTTCTTTGTGAAATTTTTATACAAATTTTAAAATATGTTTTATGCATCAAAAGGAAGAGAAGATAAAATGATTGGTTTATTTTAGAGAAAAATAAGAAACATAAAATGTATAATGCGATAAAAGTTATTTTAACACCTAATTTCGCTAAAAATGTTAATTTTAAACTTTAACCATTAACTTACGATTCGAGTTTTGTCAGAAACCATAAGGGTTACGTTTATAATATTACTAATATAGGGAGGTAACGTTTTACTGGTTCAAACCACTGGCAAGTAATCTAAAGTTTCCCTATTTAGAAACAATATAAGAAACAAAACTGCTACCCAGAAGTCGATGTGCAAAATGATGTATGACAGCTAAACCACAAAAAACCTTTTCATGTTTTGTCAAGAGAGAAAAATTGATATAGTAATAAATGAATCTAAAAAAGGCAACAATGATGACGAATGTGAAGAGAATTTGATATATTAAAACCCAATTTCATTGCATATCTGCACTATTGTTCGTGTGGCATTACTAATCAAAAAACATCAGAACTGGGCAATCCAAGTGCATTCCCCACATTCAGACAACTAACTTAGAAATTCTTTCCAAAACATAGAAACTTAGCTTCCTAGTACCCATTAATAGAAGCCTTTGAAATTAGGTTTCCTAGTGCCCATTGATTGAAGACTTACCTAAGTTTCCTAGTGCCCATTGATTGAAGACTTACCCATTTTGTAGCTACTGCAGCATTTTTCTCTGGTGGCTCCTGAAGCTTGTCCTCATTATGAGCTGTTGGCTCTGTCATTTCTTCAACCTCCACCGCTGCAATTGCTTTCTTCTTAATTTGAAAAAGAATTTTAGTTAGTATGAGTAAACTGTAGAAGTTGCTAAGCAAGGTTGATGACTATGTTTGCTCGATGGTTCTGCTTAATTTAGAAATGGTAAATTATACATTAGGTCTCCATGGTTTCATTCAATAACACTGAACCTCCTTGTGCTTCAAAAACACATACATGACCCTACGGTTGGGAACCAATGTTGAAGTTCCGCAATTGAGTACAAAAAAAAAAAGATCGGGTTTTAAATTTTTTAATTGTTTTTCTTTGTGAAATTTTTATACAACTTTAAAAATATGTTTTATGCATCTAAAGGAAGAGAAGATAAAGCGATTGGTTTATATTAGGGAAAAATAAGAAACATAAAATGTATAATGCGATAAAAGTTATTTTCACACCTAATTTCGCTAAAAATGTTGATTTTGAACTTTAATCATTAACTTACGGTTCGAGTTTTGTCGGAAACCATAGGGATTACGTTTATAATATTAATGATATGGAGAGTTAACGCTTTACTGGTTCAAACCACTGGCAGGTAGTCTATAGTTTCTCTATTTAGAAACAATATAAGAAACAAAGCTGCTATCCAAAAGCCGATGTGCAAAATGATGTGTGACAGCTAAACCACCGAAAAACCTTTTTGTATTTTGTCAGGAGAGAAAAATTGATATAGTAATAAATGAATTAGGAAAATGCAACAATGATGACGAATGTGAAGAGAATTTAATATATTAAAACCCAGTTTTTATTGCATATCCACACTATTGTTCGGGTGGCATTACTAATGGAAAAACATCAAAACTAGGCAATCCATGTGCATTCCTCACATTCAGGCAGCTGACTTAGAAATTCTTCCAAAACATAGAAACTTAGCTTCCTAGTACCCAAATAGAAGCCTTTGAAACTAAGTTTCCTAGTACCCATTGATAGAAGATTTACCCTTTTTGCAGCTGTTGCTGCATTTTGCTTTGGTGGTTCCACAGCTTTGACATCTTTTTGGACAATGTTTGGCTGTTTGCACTTTGATAGCAAGCCAAAAATAGAAGTGGAAGGTAAACACAACTAATTAAGCATATTGAGTACTAGAAATTCTTCTCAAAACCTAGAAACTTCGCTGTCTAGTATCCATTAATAGAGACCTTAGAAACATAGTTTCCCAATACGAGTACCCATTAATAGAGACCTTACCGATTTCACGGCTGCTGCTGCTGCATTTTTCTCTTTTGGTTTCATAGTTTTGATATTTTCTAAACAATGTTTGGCTCGTTGAACTTTGACAGAAAAAAGAGAAAAGGGTAAACTAGATAATTAAGGATATTAAGTAATGAATTCTACATAAAAATATATGACATTAGTCATCACTTTCTGGTCCATATAATATTAAAACAATAACTGCAACTTCAGTGATTAATATAAATCGAAGGCGAAATTGATGTTTTCAATGACACTGGTGCCAGATTTCGAAAGTTACTGTTCCGCAGGTGCCCATTCGTTCATTGATAAGAGTGGCTTTAGTCCATTTACTTACTCATATCATATGTCTAAAAATGAAATGGCTGTAGATGACACCATAACAATGCAAACGTAGTACTATGCTTTTTTCACTTTAAAACCAAGGGTGTCTCTAAAATCCATCTAAAAAGATAACAACCACTTGGCTATCAGAAAATATGCATATACTATTTTGTTGAATCTAGGAGCTGCAACATTAAAATCATTACCTGGATTGTTGTCGCCACTTCTTTCTCCTTTGCATTTGCAGCTGACTTGATCTCTTCCACAATGAGATTGGAATTTGAATCCTTTGACTGAAGTGAAAGGAAAAAGTAAACAGCACAGAGAGAGTTGTCATCCATATCCCATGTGCATCCAAAACAAAAAATCTCATGACTGTTGTTTAAAATTCAAGTGCAAACCAAAAAATCAATATGATTATACATATAAGTGCATGTAAGTTAACCATGGAGACACAAATGCAAGTGCATGCCCATATAGTCAGTCATATATATTAGATGCTTGTATATCAAGTTCAGAATAAATGAACCTATGATTAACGATGACATGCATAGGCTGACCAATTATGTATGATATATATAAATGACAAGATATTATCACGAGTATCAACAGAAAAAGCTCTGAACATTTTTTCTTCAAAAAACATAGTTTGCATTGATTTGAAGCATTCATCAAAGAAACTTGTCAACAAGGCAGGCCATTAAACTTCTAGTTAACCCACTTCCTATTTTAACTGATATAAAGGCATGCCTGATACCTTACTAGCAATGAGTTTCTCCAATGCTTCAGTACCATTCTTTTGAACATATGTCTCAGCCACAGCTAGGAAGGTTTCGGGTTTGAGAGAGACGTCATCCTTAGGCTTATTTAACCACTTGACAACAGATTGTCGGTCCACAGATAAGCACAGATGAACAAGGCTTTTGTAGACATAGTATGCACCATCAAATCGAGGTATTACTAGCCAGCAGACAAATAGTAGTTTTATCTGAGGCAAGAATGGTAGCCTGACATGAATAGAGAGAAAACGAAGAGTAATTTAGACTCATTGATGAGAAAAACTCCAAGCAGTTCGAAAATAGAAACTACTGAGTATTGATTCACATTTATATCTTTATACTCATCTAAATGAAGTAGCCCGAGCGAAGCTACATGCAACTAAGTGGGGGCAGTTTCCCCTACTCAACCTTTCTTTTTTTGCAAAAAAATTCCTGTATATGTTTTATTATATATGCCAATCTTGCCCCCATCAAAAAAGTTTTCATGCACACTAATCCACTTAATCATTCTTCATATTTGGGTTCAATCTCTAAATGCTCAATTAGGTAATCTTAACTAATATTTAATCAGTAGAATCAGCCCAATATGTTCTCAAGAAATATTCCAAAAGCTATTTGTTGTCTCCCTCCCAATGTCTCACTCACCCACTCTCACAGTATTTACTTTGGATACATTAAGAATGATGATACTATTTGGAAGTGATTTGTTTATCTAATTAGCTAACCTAATCTGTTGTTACCCTTTGATTAGAAATGGATCCCAACTAAGGTTGAGATCAATCCAATAGCAACAATTGACTAGAACAGTAAACTAGTTATTTTATGACTATGAAAAAAAAGTGTTTTATGGCATTAATAATGAGGATATCATGTAATGTTTTTACAATATGAAAACTGATCTAGAGCAATTGTGGATGAACCGGATAAAAGTATTACTATTTAAATTTTATATCATTAAAATTTGCACCCTCTATCGCAGTTTTCTAACTCCACCCCTATGTGGTAGTATTTGTGTTCTAACTAGAACCTAAAGTAGAATAAAGGATAACAAGGCTCCAATTTCATTCGACTGCAAATATAATGAATTTAAGGGCCTCCATGGCACAAAATTAAAAATTTAGCGAGCATAATGCAACTTACAACAAAAGTTTGCATTTTTGGCAGAGTAAAGGTTATGCAGATGGACCAAGATGCTACAGTTCTAGAGTGGATGGAAAGCGTTTATAAGAAGGGTGCAAAAATATTGTCTCGGGATGGATGTTTCTTTTTTTTCCCCTGGAAACAGAATTGGGTATCAAAGATGCGGCGTTTTATGCTGATGGTAATATCTTTTCGGGACGGGAGCAAATGCAACAATCTGAGATGAGGGGCAAAACTGTGATGGTTTGGTATATCCATAAAACCAGGACGTGTTAGGATGTATATGAAAGGTAATGCAGTTTAGCAGGAGCCCAGGAACACATGTAATCTGCAGAATAGGTGAAAGTATTACAACTTCATGAAATTGTTCGCGTAAGAAATGTCACGACCACTGCATAAAAATGCTGTGATTTGGGGAGGCCGGGGAATTTTAACTTCAATATGGACAGCCAAAATGCAGCTTCTGGAAGAGAGGGTGGGAGATGATATTGCTGTTTTTGAGTCATTAACACACGAAATCTGACTTTAACAGAGTGAAATTTAGGACAAAAAATTCTTAACATAACCCGCCAATCTAACACGAAATTCGGACAATGTTAACTAAGCATGGTTTGGTGTCTAATGGTTCTGGATCATAACAAGCCACCAGTCCCACTTATTACCTAGGTTGACACCATTTCGATTATACACTATATGAACACGACTACACACATTATAAACAGTTGGATTTGTGTTCAGCATTTTTTGACAAAATCTGATTTACATAATTCACAAATGCAACAATAGAGGATAGCAGATGAATGCTTAAAGATAGAGGATAGCAAAACTAATTACCATTCAATAACTCTCACGAGAGCAAGTTCAAAGAGAGAAATCAAAGAAAAAAGAACCCAATATGTGACCAATTTCCGCATGTGACAGTTTGAATTGGTCTCAATTGCCCGAACCGAAGCACAACTGCCAAGAACAAATACTTAGTACCACCCCCAACAACAATGTTAAATCAATTAAACAGTCAAAATTAAACCCAAAAAAAAAATTTAAAACCCAAGAACTAAATTTATGAACAGTATGAGGAGGTAGACAATTTTACTCTTCCCTCATCAAATGTGGGGGGAGAGAGAGAGTAATTAGCACCATTACAAACATTAAAGTGAAATTAATTACACAATCAACAATAAACCAAACAAGTAAAACTCAAAAATTATATTCATCAACAGTATAAGCAGGTAGAGAACTTTACTCTTCCCTCATCCAGTAGAGAGAGAGAGAGAGACTTACAGAGGGTAGACCAAAGCAACTAGAGGCCTGCAAGTAAAAGAAAGCTGTGTAAGAATATGTAAACGTATACACACGTACATAATGCACAACTACAAGTATACTATCAGCTTAGAACCAATTAACTTCATAATATCACAAAATACACATATGTGAAGTGAATTCCTCTTTGGATCTGATATGCAGTGAAAGTTGGATCGCTCAACACTGAAGAGAAATAGAAAATATGAACCTAAAAAGCACATTTTCTTTTCTTTTTGAAGAATAACATCAAATTATTTTCCAAAATTTTCTTGGTGGTAAGAAAATAGAAGAATCACCAGGCAAGAACATCGAAGCATTTCAATGAAAATTGGAGTAAACCCACAAAACTCATTTTGGATTTGACCAGTTTGTAGCTTTTTTTTGGCCTGAACTCCCAGGTTTTTGTTGAGGATGTCTGATCGGAAAGCTTTTGAAAGAAAAAAAATTGGGTCAGACAGTTCAAAAAACGCACGAGTGGTATTTATAGTTATTACAAACAACCATAATGGGAGGTCAATGGACGGACTCGGACTGGTCTTTTACACGTCCCTTCCTCTGTAAGCAAAATAGTTCCATCCCAATAACGTTTACATTATGGTCGGTACACACACACACACACGGTATCTACGTGCTTACATGCACGGAATCAAAATTTTATTTTTGAAAGGGCCAAATTTTACAGACCAGAACTCAGATAAACAAAAATTCGAATTGCACCCGAAAATAATAACTCCAATATGGGGTCAAGTCTTTACACTACGGCTGGTAGACTCAGTACTGTAATTAAGAATTAAAATTTATTTTGGTGTATTGATATGGTCACCTAGAAAAAAAATATTTTGACATGTTTCGAAAATATTTCGATATATTGCAAAAATGAAATAAAAAAAAATTTAAGAATTATTTTTCTAAAATATTGGTCGAAATATATCAAAATATTTTAAAATATCTTGAAATATTATAAAAAATAATTGTACAAATACATTGAAATATTACAAAACATCTCTAAAAATTATGAAGTATTTCAAAATATTAAAATTTCGATTTCATCACCGATTCATTTTAATCGCCTTAAAAACAGAAACGTTTTAGGCGTTGAATGAAATTTTCATCCTTAATTGTATTATACATACCTACAGATTATAAAAAAATGCTGGGGGGCATGGCCCCCTCAGGCCATACCAACACTCCGTAAATCTATGTATATTAGGGGCACTCCCTTTGATACATAATTTTTTCAATCTCTCATCAAAGTTCTATCACTTCTATCATCACCATCACCGTCACCGTCACCCACCACCCTCATCGCACCTCCACCTTTACCTTAATATGTTTGAAAATTTATTTTTTTATTGTGCTAAATTAAAGAAGATAAAATAAAATAGTTTGCCCAAGTAGTTATGTCAATTATATAAAATAATTTAATTTGATTAGATCAATATATTGTTATTAAATAATTTAAAATTTAAAAAATTTAATACTTGATAAGGAAAATTTTCATAAACACCATCTCATAAATTGATTGTTATAGTATAAAATATAGATTTAGAAGAGAGATAGTATTAAAAAACTGGGTTTACATTTTTTTATTTTTTGGCTGATTTTTTTTTTTTTTGGTTATTGCAATATACAACATAAAACAACCAACATGACTCTAGAGTCTGAATATCTAATCTTTAATTTTTAGTTAGGAGGTTAGTCTTTTCAACGAAATGTAGTTAAGAGGAATAACAAAATGTTGATATTGGAGACTATCAATACAAGCATCTTTTGTATTTATCCATATAAATAGCAAGACTTGATTTATAAAAAAAAAAATTTAGAAATAGAAAGAAAATAATCCTTGTCATTTTCATATGCCAAATGTGTGACTTTAGATACCCATTCTTTAACTCCAATGATCTTAACGAGGTTTTGCAATTGTAGGATAGTTAAGGTAAACATTTGATTTCGGACCTTATAATAAAAAGGGTAATATTGAATTTATGATGGCATATTACGATGACACTATAAAATTTTAATGAATTTATTGCCGAACATTGACACCAAGGATCTATATGCTTACACAAGCACAAACTTCATGAAGACTTAAGTATAACTGACAAATCATAGAAGGTCTAAGTGTAATTTATCCATAAACAATTGACAGTGGGCCTCAAAGAAGAAAAGATAGAATTGAAATTATATTTTCATATTATGATGACATCAAAAAATTCGAATGGGTATATTAACGAACACTGACCACAAGTGTCTAGGTGATACACGAGTACAAATTTTAAGTGGTTTGTATGCGAGATTTCAAATATCATGAGATCTCTGTAATTAAGTGACATATCTTAAGAGTTCGAATGTAATGTACCCTCAAAAATTAAAAAATATACAAACAGATAAAAAAAAATAAAAGAGAGACAATAAAAAAACATGGGAGAAAGTCAAGGAGGGTAAAAATTTTAAGTATAATGAAAGTTAACTGATAATTAATTGTATAATAAAAAGAGGGCACCGTAAATTTTCCTTCTCTTCATTAATAGTATAGATATTCATCGAAAAACAAATTAGTATAAATAGGTTTTTTAATAAGTTTCTCTTTCAAAAGGTTAAATTTTTTTGGAGGTGGTGTATGAAATTAGATTTATTGATTTTCCAAAATTTATGTGTTTTTCTATTGACACTACAAAAAATTGGACTTTTAGCCGCGAAAATTATTGCAGCTAATTTTATAAAAATTGTCACTATATATTTTAGTGACAACTTTTTTATTGCCACTAGACCGCGACTGTAAATTTCAAATCAAATCACGTGAAAATAATATTATGATATTCATATCATTACATTGTACGTGTACAATGCCTGAATATTAAAAAAAATAAGAATACATAACAATTCATCATAAGGTCTCAAGTCTCAACTACATATATTTTTTTTGACAGATTATTGGATCTTTCGTATTTGATCTTCGGAGACAAACTTTCCAAAGCTGTTTTCAAAGCTTCCATTAGTTTGTATCTTACAAAAATTTACATGTCATTAAAATACTTGAGTTACAAAAATGAAATCAAGATAACAAGAAATAAAAAGAGTATAACATACTTTAAATGCCGAGTCATGAGGATTAGAATTGTTGGCCATTAATGTTCGCTTTCCCATCAACATGTATTTAAAGATGAAAGCAAACTAATGTTGAATAACTGATCACTCAGAAAAATCGTACTTGAATCATGTCAGGCAGTATTATAAGAAATAATGGTGCTCCAGGTGATCTGCAGTGTCCTCACTGTTGCAAGAAGATCAAGAAACACACTCCATTTTAATCAAAACACTGATTCAGAAGCTCATGATAATGAATGTCAAATGGTTAAGTCCAAATCAACCAAAAAAAAAGAAACAAAGAAGAACATTACATACATAACACATCTAATTGATAGCTACTAACCCCTTAAATCTTTAATTACCTCTCAAACAGCTTAAATCTTCCATCGACGATTGCCGTCATTTTTTTCATGGTTTTTCATAGGTAAAGGAAATATACAACACATTCGTCCTTTGTTCATCAAATTTACACGTTATGTTTTAAGCAAAGAAATTATTGATAGAACAGAATGTAAACTGAGAATGATTTTGTTCAGAACTGAGAAGAGACTTCTACTGGGGTAGGAATGCCAATCTCAGATAAAACTGACCTTGAAGGTACACATCCATTAGTCTTTTTGTCTAGTTGCCATGAGTTCTGTCCTAAAATTCCATATGCCCCTTCTAATCTAGATTTGGATTGTTTAGACTTGGTGGGAGAGTTCGGATTTAATCAAAATATCATGGACATGCAGAGCTCCCTGGAAGTGAAACCATAATTCAGCAAAAGACCACACCAAGAGCTCAAGAACCAACAACAGTTGACCCATATGCAACATTAAGCAAGTTCCAATTGTCCACCAATTGCAGCTTACATACAGAAGTCATGACTAGAAAAACCCCACTTTCGAGCAACAATCACCCTACCCAAAATAAAATGATATCCAAATCTGAAATTACCTCCAAAAAAAAGAAAAGCAAGTTTGAGGAAAAGCAAGAAAATACAATTAATTGGGATAATTTAAGAAAAATTTATTCCAAGGGTAGAACAAGAAAACCTATGGCTAAAAACAACGATTATATAGATTGGGAGAGAGTTAGGGATGCATCAGTTGAAGTGGTTTCCAAGACTATAAGTGAACCAGTAAGTATCATATGTCTAATGATCAATTACACTGAGGTTTTCAATCAAAAAAAAAAAAGATTTCCTGATGTTGTTGCCCTGTAGGTACCCATTGGTGGATACTATCCAGAAATACTTGTGGCCACGCCTCTGCACCCTTCACAAATACCAAAAACATGTCAATTTAAGGTACTATATACAGACTAAACAATACTAGTAGAAATAGCATACACCAGAAATTTAGGACATTGAGGTAGATTCAAACGAAATTAATAAGAAAACCAGCAGAAGCAATAGAATCAGTAAACGAATGAAAAATTGAAAAAACATGATTGGAAGGAAAATGAGATTTACTTGCAGAAGATGAGAACTGTTCGAGATGGTTCGGACAGACGATTAACATATACTTTGAGCCTCACACTCTTTCTCTCTGTCTCTTTCTCTTGCGAACACACACACACAGACCAAATACTATACAAGTGATCGCTGTCTATATGATTTTATCTGATTTCAGAGCTTCAAGAAGAAGATTAGGATGATTCAAGGTAACCGACTATAATCAAGCCTTCGCCATTAACTCAGATACATAGTTTTCAATCATGCTATTGGCAAAGTCGACATGGATTCAATAGCAAATAAGTAATTAAGTTCCTGAATAATGGCCCAATAGTTCAATCAGATGAGGAAAGAATAGAATCAAAAAAAGAAAAAAGAAACAACTGACCAAACACCACAATAATTTCCACTAACTCACCACACATAAAATTCCTAGTTAGAAAAAACCCTAAACTATTACAAGATCAAGCTAAATAATTTTTCAATTCAAATTCATATAAATATGAAGCTACCACTCGCCAAATTCATGGCATAATATGAAGATGCAAGCTACAAATTTCTCTCAAAAGCAACTTACTGGCCACAATCTTAAACTTACAGATCTGTTGGAGAGAGGTCTAGTGTTAAAACTTACAGATCTACGCCCTAGCGGGTGGATTAGCACAGATCGTCCATGGCAGAGAGGTTAATGGTAGAGAAGCTGAAGAAGATTTGGGAAGAATTGACCATTGTGTGAGGGATAACTGCTGTAGAAGAATTGGGAAGCGGTCAATGCCTCAGGATAAATGTTGTTAAATAACTGCAGATCTGCCCTGGCAGATGGA